AATTGATTCTAGTGATCGTGTCATATGTCATACAATCACTCATTTGTTAAACATAAATAGATCTACAAATGACTAGACTCAATCTATTCTACCGCCAACAAGTCGAGTCATCTGATGCAGCATTGATGGTAGGACCCTAGATCAGAGGCTAGCAATCGATAGATCTATTTATGTCGCAATGAAATCATGAAAGCATGTCATACGTGTTAGAGCTTAGGCCATCGGCTAAATAGCCGATGGAGACATAGCGGGTGATTGATGCCATGCTCTTCTTAACAGATAGATCTACCAACCACCAATTTTTGATCTGACACGCTATCAATAGATCGAGTCGTCTGATGCAGCATTGATAGCGGAGTTATACCGGATACTGATAATCAATGGATCTATCTCCTAATGGAACATGACTTCAAACACCCGTCATGTACGATCAGGACCGAGATAGATTGGTCATTGAAACACGATCTAACGTCAAGAATTGAATTCAATCATGATAGTAATCAGCAAACGATAGATCAAAACAGATAGGACCAACAAATCTTAATCTAGATCGTTCAATTGGTGATATTATATTAAACAGCGAACTATCTAACATAATATTGATAACTTTGATAATACGAATGTTTATAAGAGATCAGTCGTCTGTTGCAGCCTTGTAAAAATTGATAAGAATCGATAACTAATCTATATCGTGATTTATAAGAGATCAGTCGTCTGTTGCAGCCTTACAAATAACAATATAAGTCGTGACGAATACTCACAAACAAGCCGGAGGTCAGGTTGTCCGATGGAGCCCTGCTTGCTCAAAAAACTCGTCGAAATCTACTCTACTCCTACTTCTAAGGGATGGCTGGAGCCAAAAAAGTAAAGGTACGGGATTTGTTTGATCAATGTGAGATGTCTCGTTACAATATCCAGGTGTATATATTTATATCCAAGACTAATGACTCATGACAAGCCTTGTACGTAACTTCCCTGGCAAAATATCTAGACGAAAAGAAATACTAAAATACATGGACTCCAATTTCCCTTTTTGTAAAATCCTTGCTAATAAAGCTTTTTCCTTGGCCGACGTGTCTTCTCTTGTCTAATTCAACCGCCAAAGATCCTATATGCAAACATACCACCTTACCGAGCACGTATATGAGTATGACACCTAGCCGTCCATGTGCATGCACATACATGATATACATGATATGTGTCCTTGCTTCCTTATGTGCACCTGGACATCGTGCTTATCCCAAATAATATTCCTTTCCTTCCATGCATGGAATCCATTACTTGCGGTGTATATCCATGAAACAAATAGGAATAACCATGGCCAAATACGTTAACTAGCCATACTTGCATGCCCCCCTAATAGCTGAACATGCAAGTCTACATATGCATGTATATCTCTTTTGCTTTAATCGTGAAGTTGGTCTTTGATTCGGCTGCGGCAAAGCAGCTAGCCTTCCATCTTCATATACACACATAGGCACCACGTGTCTTAATTAATCAAGCAGGTCTCCCCTCTTTCCCTTGGACACATGAACTCCGATCTGCATGTATCTTTATCTTTATATATCCTTTCTTCATGCACGTGCAAACCAACTCACGATTTGCTCCTTCATGTTAAGATATCTTGGACGTGAGGCTTCTCCCAGATTAAATATTATTTTCTGGCCGACTCATAAATATCCCTAAATTAGGAGATTTTCTTATTTTTAACGCTATCGGCCGATTCCCTCCATTCCAGGAAAAGCTTACCAAATTTTGGTGTCAACAGATAGCTACTGCAACACATGAGGTGGTACCAATGAAACAAATTAGCAAAGTTATTGCAATGGGACTACAAAAAAATATAAGACAAAAGGGAAAAATGAATATAACGTCAAAACAGCATGACAGGAGCCAAGGTAGGGGCTTGCGACAGCACCTTCAGCTTGAGGATCACGGGTCTAGTACTTTCGGACTTGATTCATCAACTCATCAAGGATGTGCCCTGCCCAGTCAAATGATTTGATTTTAGAGATGTCCAGTAAGTTGTACAAGTACCGTGGGGTGGTTGCATTATCTGTTCCTGGGCAGAGTACAGACCCTAAGGTAAGCAACATGAATGCCCTCATAAAAGAGTCCTTGTCCTTAGATTTAGTCAACACCTCCATGCCCTTGGTTCACCTCCCTTTGAATCCATCCATAAAAGGTTCACGAATCTTCTGGAAGGCTTCATATTGATCGGAGGTAGAAGTAAGCTTAACAGGCTCTTCTCCGCTAGGCACACCAAGAATGTTGCAAACAAGCTGCTTGTCAAATACAATAACTTTATGTTTGAGCCTAAACTCTCTCAAATCAACGTCAATGTGCTTCATGATCCATGCAACGAGCTTCACAGGGATGGAAAACTCAGATATGGCAAGTAAAGCACCTAAACCAGCCTCTTCAATCCACCCTATCTGATCTTGACTGAACTCGTGGTCACGGATCCTGTGGACTGAAAATCTTGTTGTGAAGGGGTCGCCATTGCCTTTGCTTTGGTTTCGGGAGCATTAATTCCTACGTAAAAAAGACAAAGAAATAGCATATTAAAATCAAATCCAAAAATTGGGGTACACAGTTCATAATAACGCATAAAAAGTAGACACAAGTTGCTACATGTTCCAACTCACAGGTGGACGGCATAGATGCGCCGATAACACATCACATTTAAAAAATGAAACATGCCAATATATAGATGCCCTATAGCTGATTGTTGCAAAAAATATATATGAAGAAGGCATGAAACACTGGACATATCATGGTGAAACAACGCAGGATAGCATAATGAAACATGTTCAAAGTTTTTATCCAACACTAACCCCAACAGGAATCAGCATACATGTTCAAAGTTGCTATCCAACACTAGCCCTAGCAAGAATCAACATACATTTGATCATATATGATAAACAGAAAATCCATTGGAGATGCAATAAAGAGTAATGGCATGTCAGATCTCAAGATTTTAATTATATTCCTTCAATATCTATAGTCACTGGATATATGCATCTACTGCCTAGCAAGCACCACCAACATACATCGAGCACACTATCATCCTGTGTATTACATTTATGAATTCTAAAAATGTGCATATGAGATGCTTCAGGTACCCAGGAGCTACATGTTTGATGCCATACCTTGCTGGTTCGAGACCTTCTTCATTGGAGATTTCTTCATAGGGATGTTGGTTCGTCCTTTGCTCAAAGATGCTTGGACTGCCTTGTTGTTGGTGACCTTGCTCACTGCTAGACCCCCTCGTGCCCTGCTATTGGGGACCTTCCTCGCTGCCAGACGCCCGCGACCACGTCCCCGCCCAGCATCTGCCTCCTCGTCGCTGCTGCTGGGCGAGTTGCCCCTGACGGGCGACACATCCCTACCTGATCTCATATGCATCACTCCAATCCGGCGCTAGGTCGAGGTGCAGAAGGAGGAGCTGGCGGGAGGCAGGCAACCGGCGTGGTACCTGCACCGCTAGGGTTGGGGTGGCTTGGCCACCGTCATGATCCCTGTGAAGGCGGGGGGGTGCGATGCAGGTAGTCACGGCGGGAGGATAGGACGGTGAAGGCGATCAGCGTAGGTCGGGGCGGAGTAGAGCGGCACAGTGGACCGGGCACGGCAGGCAGACACCGTGGTGGGGGCGTACGGTGAGCGGGAAAGGCGAGCAACGTGGTGGAGGCGGGCGGCGTGGTGGAGGCCAGCACGATGGGCGGATGCCGCAGTAGAGGCGCCGCGCGGCGTGGTGGAGGATTTCACGGCGGGCGTACGGCGAGGTGGACGTGGTCGCGACCGCGATCGGGTGAGGGGAAATGCCGATTCAGAAACTCACGAGTGGGGAAGAACTGATGCCGTTGCGTGGGGGTGTCTGGGCCGCCCGTCCGAAAGCCCACCAAGGAGGCCACAGGCCCAGCGAGGAGGCGCCTGGACCGCTGCGCTTCGGTCGGACATCCTCACCCGAGCAATTTCGAAAGGCATAAGTCCCTTAGGGGTGAGGTTTATTAGAACTTATGGGGCCAAATTGACACCCCATGTCCCTCACCGGTCCCACCCCTCCCCGTCCCCCACCCCCTCAAGGGTATTTTAGTCTTTGTTCAATAGCTTTAATGCCCTTTAATCCTCTCTAGTCCCTTGAACCAAACATGGTTGGAGACTAAAGTTTAATTTTTATTTTAGTCTATAGTCCTATGATAAGAGAAAATAACAGGGCCTAAGTCACGCGCTCACGCGAAAATGAAGATGTGTTTAAATGTTGCAAAAGCGCGGCATGCAGCATTAATTGCGTGCCATGCATCGACAGAGAATCGTACGCTATGCGGTGCGTACGGTGCACTGTAGTGCTGGTGCTGTCTACAGGTCGTCTTTATTTTATTTTAAGTAAAGTAAAATATCGGTCTTTAAATTTGTAGAGGTGTGTCGTCCTGATTCTCCAACTCAAAAAAAAAAATATGTAATTTCGATTCTTAAACTTTATTTTGATCTTATATTCATGCAAACGATACCCATATATTGAGGTAAGAGTTGAATGTTTGAAATAGAAGATTAGTAGGAGTTACATACAACATCACGTAGACATAAAAATTACAAAAATATTTAAAAACTTCATGAGGGTTGTTTTAAAAACAGTTGTCTTCTTCCCCTCGTCATCCCTCGATGCCGCCGCCGCCGCGTGGGCGCGTCCCCGCCGCAGACGCTACTGGGCAAGCCCCGGCGGGCCACCGTCGCGGCCGTATAGGCGCGCGGGCGAGCCGCCGCCGCCACGCAGGCACCCGAGCGATGTCCAGCTTCAGGATCGTCTGGCTGATCTGGCGCCGCTCTGGTTGACCGTGCCGTCCGACTCGGTGACTAGCACCAGCGACATGGTGTACTCCGTCGGCTGGAGGAACTCCTTCATGTCGCTCGCGATGATGGCGCAGAGGCCGCCGTTGCTCTGCACCTCGTTCATCTGCCGCTCGATGTTGATGTTCGGACCGGCAGTGCAAAAGACGTACTTATTCCCTCTCACGTCCTTGCTTCTCAGGCTGGAGTACTCGCACGTTTGCTTGCTCCTGTTGCCGTGGCCGTAGTAGAGGTTCGCGCTGACGATCGGCGTGCTCAGCCGGTACACCGACTCGGACGATCGCCCCGCTGCCGAGCGCGACGGTCGCGGTGAAGTCCCTGTCGACGCTCGCGGCGCCGACGGTCGTGATCCAGGGCGGGCCGTTCATGATGGTGTATCCGTCGGAGCCGTCGTTACCAGCCGAGCACGCCACGAACATGCCCTTCTGCAAGGCGGGGAAGGCTCCGATGACTATCACATTGGCGAAGGCACGCCGGCGAGCTTACCATGGTGGTGAGACAGAGAGACAAAGCTGACATATGGGTCCAAATCCGTTTAGATAAATATGAGACCTAAATAAAGTTTAAAGACTGAAATAACATAATTTTTAAGTTAGGGACTGGATGACACGCCCCTTATCGACCACGTAATTTACTCTTTTATTTTCTTTCCTCTCGCAAAGAAACAAGAGCCTCAAATATCAGCCTGTTCGTTTGTTGGTTTCGGTCAAGGCTTCACTAATACAAAGACGGGTTTTACTCCGGTGGGGTTCGCTTCACTAATACAAAGACGGGTTTTACTCCCGGTGGGGAACCCCCTCTAGTCCCGGTTCCCCACCCGGGAGCAAGCATCCGGGCCGGGACTAAAGGTCCTCCCAGCTTTAAAAAAATAATGCCACCCACCGCTGCGTCCGTGAGATTCGAACCCAAGACCTCATACATTGCCTCGCACGTAGCTTACCATCCCACCTACACAACACATCTAACAATGGATGAGATGCTTCCCTTTTGAACTAACCCATCGGGGGACCTTTAGTCCTGATTGGTGTTACCAACCGGGATGGTGTTACCAACCGGGACTAAAGGTTGGAGGACTTTTAGTCCCGATTGGTGGCTCCAACCGAGAGTAAAGGTCCACCTTTAGTCTTGGTTGGTGTCTCCAACCGGGACTAAAGGTCCCCTGCCACTGTGCCGAGCGTAGTTGCCGTTGGGCAGGGGACCTTTAGTCCCGGTTGAAGACACCAACCGGAACTAAAGGTCTCTCTAGTCCCGGGCGCAAAAAATGCCGGGACTAGAGCCCATTTTGGCTTCGGATGAAAGATCTGTTCTCTACTAGTGCTTATCAGTCAGTCAACAGTATTTTTCTCTCATAATAAACCAGCACCAGCCGGACTTATCAGCCTAAAAACTAACCAGCGAACAGGCCGCATGTGTGGACGGACGGACGGACGGCCAAGAGCGCTTCCAATTGCGGCGCATGCACGTCCAACCAACCAAACCAGGCAAGAATCTATGGGTGGATCCACACACCACATGGTGACATCATGGACGGACCCTGTTCAGCGAACCCAGAATTCCGATCGACCCTGATTAGCCTGTTCAGTCTAAACTTATCAGCCGTAGGCTTTAATACTAGTCGAATAGGCCCATGTCTGCACTGCATATACTATATGTGTATATTTTGTGTATTATCTATCGACTATTGTAGGCATAAACTGACAAAGCACTTGCTCTTCTTAGTGCCCATTGGCCAGCCATTTATCATCCACATGATCTACTCAACTGATCCACGTAGATACGTAGATAACAGTGTATAGACACACTCTCATACTAAACCCGTCTATGAGTGTACGCACATATATTCTGAACCCTACGAGCGAAAGTTGGTGGCTTGGTGCTAAAAGCGAAAGATATGTTTGGCAGGTTTTGGATCGGCTTTGGCTTTACTCGAAAAAGCAAGAACCGGTAAAAAAACATTTTTTTCAAACCTACTGGCGTCCAATTTATTTCGTAAAAGTGAAAAATGCAAAAGATTTTCTAAAATCTGATGTCGTTTTGTAGAGACAGGGTCTAAATGTAGAGTACTAATTTATATAAAAAAATGTCTTAGAGTAATATCACTGCCCGTGGACCGAATAAACCTCGGACTTTGCCATACTGGACAAACTAGTCCAGAACCACTGTGACGTCCTAATTGTGGTTGGGCAGGTTGGCTGCTCCTACGTCCTGCTGTACGGAGCCTTTCTTTAGGACTAGAAATTTGCATGCGGGACACGACGTTCGTCCATGACGTGGTTGTACTTGTAATCTACTAGCCTATCTATCCCTCCGATCAGATCAGCCAAGGTAGTTTTTTTTTTTTTGACAACAAACGTAATTATATTAGCAGCATGAACATGAGAGTACAGTTACACCTCGCAAGGTTATAGAGTTCAGTGCATCCCTAAGAGGGCACTGATGACTGCGATGTGCATAAGAGCACACAGGCTCAAAGTTTAGTAGGAATCAGAGAATGTCTAGCTAGGCTATCAGCAGTAGAGTTGAGAATCCTGTTAATCTTGTAGATCTTTGTATGGTAATGAGCAGAGCTGGTAGTGAAAATCTGAGTGAAAGGCTTCATTCTCCAGTCTGGAGGATTGGCTTGGTCCGCTGAGTTGAGGAAGTGTATCAGCTGTTGGCAGTCTGAGAGGAATGCTGTGTTGTTGAAGCTGAGGCGATTGTTCACCAGTGCGGCAAGAGCTAAGGCAGCAGCCTCTGCCATGATCACGGACTGGGTATATATATATATATATATATATATATATATATATATATATATATATATATATATATATATATATATATATATATATATATATATATAGTCTGCGCTGGTTGTACCTGAGTGTTAACAAAAAAAATTCCAAGACCAGCAAGTCTTGGCGGTAGCGATCGGCGATCCGGCTCTGTGGAAGCATCAACGTAGCACCTAACACCAGGAAGTGAGGCCGGCATTTGGATAATGTACCTGTCCATCTGAGTGTCGTTGTGGTTGCTGGCTTGTGTTGTACCTACAGTTGGTAGTGTCATACCTGATTAAGTCCTGTTGGACGCCCGGGTTGCAGTTGGGCAGCCGGCAGGAGTTGTAGTTGGTGGCTGCTGGTCCCTGATCACCGATTGTGGAGATGCTCGCCCTGTGACGACTGAGTTTGTGTCCCCTGTCATTAGTTGGGTGGCAATGTGTGCTGCAACAGCATGGTGTACCTGCCAGGGAGTACATGACTTACGTTAAAAGCGAGTGTCATTCCTCGCCTTCTAAAGATACCACAGTAATTAGGATTTTTTGAAACAAAACATTAGGGGTTGAGTTGGAGATGAAAGACTGAAGGGTTAATTGGACTCCGTCACTTTCTTGTGGAAGATTGTCAGTTCTAAGCGGAGGATTAGTAGAAAACCAAACCGCATGGGGAAGTTGACAGTGGAAAAATAGGTGTGCATCATCCTGTGTAGTGTACTCCCTGGCAGGTACACCATGCTGTTGCAGCACAAGTTGCACATTGCTTGTCAATATGTGTAGTGTATTGCAAGGGCTCTTCGTATAAGTCTCCAGGTGAAAGATTTGATTAGAGGGGATTAACTGTTGGCTGCTAAGGTACCTGTAAACATTTGTTGTGGGAGCTGGATTAACTGTTGGCTGCTAAGGTACCTGTAAACATTTTTGGTAGAACACAGACCATTCTTTGATGGAGTCCATCTCAGAATGTCGTGCTGGTCATTATGGACAGGATGGATATTAGTAATGGCCTGAACAGCCTGATCATCAAAAATATTGTTAATAAGATCTAAGTTTCAGGACCGAGAGCTGGGTAGCCACAGATCAGAGACAGTAGCAGGTAGAGGGAGATTAGTAACAGGGAGGATCAAGTGATCATGAATAGTGTTCCACACTGGACACCACGGGGTGGACCAAATGGAGCTGTTACCTGCGTGGATCTGGTAAACTGAGTTGTTGCATAGTTCCTCCTTAACCTACATAATAGAAGACCAAAAAATGGACTAGGGGCCCATGGTGTTAGCAGTCCAGAATGAGGAATTGTGTTAATATTTCGCTTTGAGAACAGAGGTGAGAAAGGGATTCTTGCTGTTAGCTATGTTCCAAGCGGCATTAGTGAGGAGGCTCTTATTAACCGTGTGTAAATCTCTGATTCCAAGTCCTCCGTTCTCCTTAGGTTGGCAGATGTCATCCCATGACCTGAAAACTATGGGAGATGTTGGATTGTCATCTTGAATACCTGCCCACCAAAATCTGCGAATAATAGCGTTGATTCTGCCCACAAAGGTCTTGGAGAAGAGGACAGTGGACATGTAGTACACCAGAATGGAAGCAATGACATATTGAATGTAAGTGAGCCTGCCAGCGTGGTTGAGTTTGTTGGCTTTGACAGTGGTTAACTTGGCCCGGAATTTGCTAAGAATGAAGTCGTAGGCTTTGTTCCCGTCATTGTGGTTGAAAAATAATGGGATGGCCAAGGTGCATGATATTAGGAAGGAGGTCAGGAACAGGGAAGATGTCCCTGATTTGTGCTTTGGTGGCATTGGCAACGTTCTTGCTGAACATGATAGAGGACTTCTGGAGGTTGGGGGTTTGACCCGAAAGGGTGCAGAAGTCATTCAATATACTGCGAATGTTGGCAGCCTCAAGCATGGAGGCATGACCACAAAGGATGAGATCGTCAGCAAAAAGAAGTGAGTGGATGGGAGGGCAGCTAGGACCAAGGGAAATGCCTGAGAGAGTGGAATTAAGCAGGGCTTGATTAAGACGAATGGAAAGTTCATTGATAGCAACAACAAACATATAGGGAGAAAGAGGGCAACCCTGACGGATACCACGCTGGGGAGAGAAGGAGGCTGTATGCTCACCGTTCACAAGAATAGAAAAAGTAGGCATGGAGATGCAGGAGCGAATGAGACCAATGAAGTTGTTCTGCAGACCCAGGCGGCTAAGAGCCGAGGCAATGAACTCCCAGTTCAGGCGATCAAAGGCTTTAGCTAAGTCCAGCTTGAGCAGGAAAGCATTCTGGTTCCAGTTCTTGAGGCCAAAGGAATGGACGATCTCCTGAGTGATGACAATGTTGGAGCTAATGTGTCTGTCTTTAATGAAAGCAACCTGAGAGTTATCAATGTAGTTAGGAAGCAGAGGCTTCAGTCTATCAGCAAGGGATTTTGCAATAACTTTATAAATAACATTACAAAGACTAATAGGTCTGAAGTCTTGAGGCAGAATAGGTTGCATCTTTTTATGAATTAAAGCAATAAAAGTTTGGTTAAGTTCTGGCTGGAGAAAAGCAGAGGTGTAGAAATCACGTACCAGGGTGTGGACATCCTCAGATATCCGGGGCCAAGCCGACTTGTAAAATGCCGCATTGAGGCCATCTGGTCCTGGCAAAGCATTGCTGCGCATATTCTTGATGATAGTATGTAGTTCCTGTATGTCTGGAATTGAATTGGTGAAGGTGTTGGTGGAGTCGTCA